CGGCAAAGGCTTAAGGTACCTTCGAAGGGGGCTTAAGGTACCTTCGCCGAAGGGTGCTCCACGACTGCCCCAGCCGATTTCAGCTTCTTAGGTCTCAAAAGGAAATGAAAAAGTTCATCCTTACATGAGCATAAGCAGTAAAACATCATTGTACAAGAGGCTGCAGCTTTTTTCCGCTGCAAACGTGTATTTTTTCTGCCTCACAGCTTTTTCTGTCTTAAACACGCGTTTTTTTCACCTCATGTATTTTTCCGCATCGTGGCTAATTTTTTTTCACCTCAAGTTTTTTTCATGTTTCCAAAATGTGCGTGTGTCTTTCAAATCTGACAGAATGCGAAGGACCACGATAATCCTGCTTTCAAAATTATGCCTGTGAAATTTAAATTTAACTTCTTCTTCTTTCTGTTTAGATTTGTTGGGTTTTGCATGTTAGACTAGAATCTTGGCCCCGGCTGTGAAAAGTTGTGATTTCGAGCAATTTCGAGAACTCGAAGCACTTCGAAAAATTGCAATTTGACGTGCAGACTTATAGACATTTCCGAAGCAAGGAGACTTCGAGCAATTTGAGTTTTTTTGGAGACTTAAGGAGAGTAGAGCACCCGAAACGACTTCGGAGACTGGAAACTTGAAGGAACTTATGAAATTAATTTGCAGAGACTTCGCGAGACTCGAGGAAACTTGAAGCTTCAGGCGGCTTAAGACGCTTAATGCGATTTAAGCTCATTGGGGACCCAAAGAAACTCAAGAAACTTGAGACAACTCAATTATTTTTTTGGCTGTCCTGGTTGTTGTTGTGTTGTTGTTGTTGTTGTTGTTGTTGTTGTTGTTGTTGTTGTTTGTTGTTGTTGTTGTTGTTGTTTGTTGTTGTTTGTTGTTGTTTGTTGTTGTTTGTTGTTGTGGTGTTAACTTCGAGAACATTGTTACAGAGCACAGTTATTATGTTTTTCTACTTTTTCCTCTGTTTTTGCTGTTTTTTAATTTGTAATGAGAAAAAATAAAAGGATTTTTTGGAGGTGATATTATGGGTGGGGGTTTGTTTGGTTTGGGGGTCTCTTTGGGGACCGGGGGGGGGGGGGGGGGGGCGGCGGGGGGGGGGGGTGGTGGTAGGGGGGGCGGGGGGGGGGGTGTTAGGGGTGGGGGTGGGGTGGGGGGGGGGGGAAAAATAAGAGCGTTCGTGGTGTGTGATGTCTTTCGCTTGCGCCTTCCCCTTTTTTTTTAACGGTTGTAAGCGTTTTTTTTTTTGTGTCTCTGCGCCAAGACGTTAATTTTTTTGTCTGGCGCGTCGGCGCGTCTGGTTTTGTTATTGTCCGTGCTGCTTGGACCGTGTCCGTGCTGCTTGGACCGTGTCCGTGACCTTTGTTTTTTTTTGGGGGGTTTTGAGGGTTTTGGGTTTATGTGTGTTATATATGATATATTTGGTATCTATGATATCTTTGGTATACATGATATCTTTGTTTATGATATATTAGATATATATATATACATGTATGTATGTGTTAAATATGATATATATCTATATATATATATGGTATCTATGATATCTATGGTATATATGATCTCTATGTTGTTTTTAATATATATGATATCTCTGATACATATGATATATATACATATATATATATGATATACAGGACCGAGCAGGCCAATTGGGCCAGGAACCACGCCACGTGTTTGATTTGGACAAAGATCAAGCGTGGCTGTGGACCTAGTTGCGAAACAATGGCAGGCGTGTGGAAAAAGGCACTGAACGCCACCGTGCCATGGGGATTTTGTCCCTTGCCGGCGCGCG